GCCTCCCTCTGTTTTTCCTTCTCTGTGCTGCTGTTTTTCTCCTCAAGGTCTGTTCTCCTCAGTCAGCCTCGGAGACACTGTGTTCCCAGGCAGGCTGCACGTGACGAGGTGGGAGAGTATACCTCCACTCGGCTCACTGGAAACAAAGGGAACCAAGGTCAAGGTGGGCAGCAAGGACAAGAGAGGGGCTAAAGAGGCGAGAGGGATGCTTCCAGTCCTAAGAAGTCTTCTTTGGAATAGAGGGGACTGGTCTAGCCCGAAAGTGAGTGCGGCCTGATGTTCTTCCTGGATACCCTGTGCTCCTTGGAGGTAGGCCTGATGCTGGTTGGTGGCATGATCTGCAGGTCTCGGAGGATCCTTCCTGTCCTGCACAGCTCACCTGGGCTTTCTCTGGGTGGGGCTTCTTCTCCAGCCTCCGAGTGTACAACTTGACCTTGAGCAGCCCTCTGTTCTCCGTCCTCACTGAAGACACAGTAGAAGGACTTTATTTACATCTAGTCTGTGGCAGGAAGGACTCATCCACTGAAGGGGTTCCCATCTGTGTCAGGCTTGGCTCAGGCTGTTGGAAGGACCTGTCACCATCTATCTAGTCTCAGGAATGGTAAAACACTCCCCATGCCAGGTGTGGTGGCTCATGCCTGTAATCCTAGCACTTTGGGAGGCCAAGGCCAGCCAGATCACTTGAGGTCAGGAGTTTGGGACCAGCCTGGCCAATATGGTGAAATGCTATTTCTACTAAAAATACAAAAAAACAAAATAAGCAGGAAATCGCTTGAACCCAGGAAGCAGAGTTGCAGTGAGCCAAGATCGCACCACTGCACTGCAGCCTGAGCAACAGAGAAAGACTCTGTCTCAAAACAAAACAAAGCAAAACAAAACAAAACACACTCCCCAAACGGTCACGTTCCAAGCAACAGGTAAGGGAACAAGAGAGTAAATTCTGGACTGATTCAAGCCTTGACAAAATTTCTAGGATGGAAGAATGAGGAGAGCAACATTTCAGGAATAAACAAGGTCAGAATTTATTTATAGTAAATAATACTCTAGCCCTCCAACTCAAGTATGCAAGAAACATCACTTTCTTCATTTCCTAGAAATCAATTCGATTTCTACTTTAAGGCCCCCACCTGGCAGGAGAATTCATGCCAGTCATTGCTGAGGTTTCATTTCCCTTCCCCACCCAGGAAACTCCAGACACAATAGTTCTAAGAAGACACAGATGTGGCCAGAGGAAGTCCTTCCAGGTGTAGCACTCAACCTAGTCTGCTCTATTGGGCAAGACAGACATGAGGTCTCCTCCCATTAGGACTAGTGATAGCATAATAGAATAGAGTCCTAGGAACTGAGACAAGGAAGCTGCAGACTCAGCCTGAGCTCCTTGAGAAGGATTGACTCACCGAGGAGGAGAACTCTGAGCCATGACTCTAAGAACGACAAGAATTTTGCCTCGTAGAGAAGAAGAAAAGCATTCTGGAAAGATGTCACAGTGGAATGAAAGGACCGGGTCATTCTGGGAATGAGTGCCCGGAGGCTGATACTCATTTGGGTGTGGGGAAGGCAAGGGTAAGAGAGAAGTTTAGAAAAAAGAAAAAAATCTCCTTTGAGACCAGCCTGGCCAACATGGTGAAACCCTGTCTCTACTAAAGATACAAAAATTAGCCGGGTGTGGTGGCGCACTCCTGTAATCCCAGCATTTTGGGAGATCAAGGCAGGTGGATCACTTGAGGTCAGGAGTTTGAGACCAACCTGGTCAACACTGCAAAGCCCCATCTGTACTAAAAATACGAAAATTAGCTGGGCATGGTGGTGGGCACCTGTAATCCCAGATACTCAGGAGGCTGAGGCAGGAGAATTGCTTGAACCTGGGAGGTGGAGGCTGCAGTGAGCCCAGATCATGTAGCTGCACTCCAGTGTGGATGACAGAGTGAGACCCTGTCTCAAAAAAAGAAAAAAAGAACAAAATCCCCAAGGAAGACTTATAATGTGTACTGTGATGGTTTTTTGTTTTGTTTTCTCTTGCTAGGGTTGGGGCCTGTGTAATAAACAACGCTCTCTCTTTGTCTCCTCAAGTTTGGAACCAACTAAAAAATAAGATGCAGGGAACACGTGAACACTTAAATGTCAACTTTGTGGCAGATCAAAGCTGGATTGGAGGACATAGTGCAAATGAGCAGCCCCCATGGACTTCCTATCACATTCCTGTCACAGCGAATGTAGACAGACTGTTCAACCAGTCACAGGAGTGCTGGATAAGCTCAGCCCTGTCTGAGCAGCCCAGAATCTACCCTAAGGCAGGTCCTAAAGAGAGCACCTGGTGAGGCTTTGCAGGCTCAACTTCTCCCTTGAAACCTTCACACCAGGGGTGAATTGGTTTCATGCTTTACCTCCCACAATGGTCTTGAAATATAAAGGAGTGCAGCTGACATGGGATCCATGGGGATTAATGTTTCCTGATGACATTTCAGACAAAATATTGGATGGAGAAAATATTACTGGATGGGAACCATTCTTCTTGCCAGGAGAGTCA